TGTTTTGGCAGGGGGTGAGGGGAAGCATGTCTGTCGTGATTTCCGTGAGATTTCCAGAATTAGTTCTGCTGCGGTACAAGATGTTAAAATATACCTGGTGAAAGTTAAGGTATATCTGTATGGTTATATTTAATAACCAATTATAATGGGCTGTCTTGCTGAGACATCTGAATGGGCTACCAGTAATTTGTGATCCGTTGCTTATCAGAAATGAGACAGATGCCACATAGCTCACAAGGCAATAGGTTTTCAGTTACTCTACTTCAGGTCTGAAGTGGAGCAAGTTGTGGTATCTCTGTAAGAGGAGTTCTGCTAGTGGCTGTGGGTATGGAATTTCCTGCCTGTTTGACCCACTTCCCATTTTCACAGCAGCTTTGCAGTCAGCCCTGAATATTTTCTTTGTATATATTAGCCAGGGGAACCTTCAAATGCTGTGGGGAGATAATCAGTAACTTGGGTGAAAAGTTGGTAGCCTCTTCCCTATGAATGGATCCTTGTCACTGAAAGAATTCATTCATTTTGTTGGCAGTTCAGGGAAAACAACCAGAATGGAGACCCAAAGGATACGGGCTAAATACTTCCCAGCCTTCAACAGTAGAAGCATCAATGGCATGATTTCACAGGCTTGTTGTCAATCTTGCACACATAGCATTTGTTTTTCTCTCTTAATGCTAGTATTGAATCACACCAATTACATTATTACAGTACACTGTGTAAAACATGCTGCCGTTCTGTACAGATGGGTTGCAGTGGATCTGGCAATTATGTCTATTATGAAAAGACACAAGTTGAACATTAGAATGCCCATGAATTAGGGGGCAGGCAGCAGGCACTCATTAAAGATTTTAATTGCTTGCTTTCTCCTCTTTGAAAAAAAGCAGGGGGAGCCATGTTTCAAAGTGAGCAATTAAAGGATACTTCATAGCTAATTGCTGTGAGAAGGAGCTGCTATGTGGAATATGCTCTATTGTGATTCATGCGATTGCTTGACGTTTTATTAAGAAGCACATCTTTGTGCTCCGATGAAATTTGATTTTCGGCAGCATAACTGCATGCGTAATAACTGCTGAAGTAATGGCTATTTGGATTTTCTGTGGCTCTTTTCTTTTTCACGTGTAATAAGCATGCCGTAAGTAAGCTGCAATTATCAGGGTCACTGATGTACAGAAATCCTCTGTGGCTAAGTGGTTTATCTAGTTTGAGAGTAAGTCTATTGTATGTGTGGCTAGGAAGGCACAAGCTGTCTGTAGCTCAGCAGGGTCATGAGTTAAATTGCAGATCCCTAGAAAGGCAGATCTCTTCCCTGCTGCCAGAGCCTGCAGAGGTCTAAAGACCTGTAGGGCCATATCGATGAGGCTTGGAGCCAGACCTAAAAAGCTCTGGTGAACTCCAGCCAGTTCTGTGCCCAGTCAGGTTGAACACCCGAGTTGGGCTTCAAGCGTGGTACGGAGACATCACAGTGCCTGAGCACTGGGTCAACTCAGCAGCACCAGCCTGTGCTGGAGCCTCTTGGGTGTGTGTGGCCTGCAGAGGGTGTGTCCCCAGGCTGTGGAAAAGGAGCGCTCAGTCTGGGCTGACTACAGGATGTGTCTTAGCTCCCCAAATAGGATTGGTGTCATCTCGGAGATGCCTGCACGGATAGCCATCTCTAATGCATCCCAAAATGTGCATATATGTTGCTCCATTACCTAGAAGTACCTCAAGTAAAGAGGCATTGACTGTATGTTTTCGCTCTCTCTAATGCCAGTGGCGCTGACTCCTGATGGTGACACACCTGTTGGAGCATTAGCGACCTTCGCTGTCCCACACAGCAGCCTTGAACAGAGGTGACTCATCATCTCTCTCCATCCTGCTTGTGTGCTGTGTGGCACGTCTGTGTGACAGTGGGAACTGCGGAAAGGAAGAATCATGCTGGGGGTGTTGAGGATGTATTTGTATCTATGTTTTTTTGTTGCTTATAGTGGAGGAGAAGTAATGCAATAGGACAAGTTAACACTTGTTGTTCAAGTTATTGATGTGCTATTCGAAGATCCATGTTTTACAGAGAACCCTTTTTCCATTTGTGTTCAGGAAAATTAGTGGTCTGAAAGAACAGAAACACAAGTGTTGAAAAATATCGGCGAAATGGCTTAGAATTTATGCATTTTCAAGTGCACAATGAAATAGCACTCTGTACATTTCACCAAATAAAATTCCCCATCCAACAGAATCAGTTGGAATCAGAATCAGAAACAAACTATTTTGTACTTGTACTTAACAGTGACTGTCGGGATTTCTCACTGCCAAACTGAAGTTTACAAAAGCATGAACAAAAGTAAAGACAAAGGAATTGACAAGTTTGCTAACCGTGCTTGGGGTCACAGCCCCCTTCCTTCTGTGGGAGACAGGCCAGAGAAAGATACCAATTTCCCTGAGTGGGTTTCAAGGAACAATGACTCACATTCCCTTCTCCTCCTTCCTGTATGTAACACTGCAGCAGTAAATGATACCTTCAGCCTTGGGATGATGGTTTATGTTACTGAATTAGACACACTCGATGTTCTCGCTACTCTTCAGTCAGTTTGTAAGGTCCACACCTTTTGGTTTTGGTTAGGTTTGTTTGGTGTGTTTTTGTTGTTTTTGGTTTTGTGGGTTTTTTTTATAACTGTAATAATGCAGGAACTTCTTGATTATTTTGAGCAGCTGGAATTAGCAATTGGAAATATGCTCAGTATTAAAAAATTTGTTGGGGTAGAAATGACAATGAATTTGCTCAGTAGCAACTTTTATGCATGCAAGTATAGAGAATGATAGACTGCAGAGACGTTTTATGGCTTTGAAATGTGAAAGCTTCAACAAAATAAGCAGGTTTATGACCTTCTTGGAAAGAATATTAGTCATGCCTCTGCATATGCTGGTATTAATTGTTGTCTGCTTAGGTAAAGTACAATATGTACAGTATGTTCAGTATGACTGTAATTTTAGAATGTTGCATCCTTGTAATATGTCTCATTAAAAAGCAGGATTTAGGCATGTTCTTCCCTCTAGTACCAATATCTTAATGATTCTATATCTGCTAGCTGACATTCATAAGGAATCGCTCCAATTAATTTTCTATCTGTGCTAATGCATCAGCTTAAAAATCTTAGTTTAGTACTAGATGGATACACAAAGAGGCATCAGGTTATAACTGCCTCTAGGCTGATGAAGAGATTACAGAGCATGGGTGTGCTATCTCAGTAGCTATTTTCTACAAACAATTGCCATAACAATGCAACCGGTGCAGAAAAAAAGTTAATGGTATTGTATATACGTAGGAGGATTCACCTGGCAATAAGGATCGTTCTGCATATGCTTTATGTTTAACTCTCTGAAGTAGCGATCTCAGAATTGTTCTGTATATGTGTTTAACTCTTTTTTCTTTTCTTGTAAAGTAGCAGTTTGGGGTTAAATCCAAATGGATCTTAAACATCTGTTTGAGGTTTTTTTATTCTTATTTGTTTAGTTCTAATAAATGTAGACAAGCTATGCTTCCCTGCTCCTTTTCCAGGATTTTCTCTGAAGCTGGTTTTATTCTATCATGCAACCTGTTGTTCTGAACTATTTTTTCTAAATCACAGATTGCATCTTTTGCAGTAATATAAAAACGAGACATACTTTTGAGGCTGCAAGAGTCAGTGTAAGTTTTTATGCAAACACTAGACTGAGTCTGACCTGTCAGTTTGCCTTTAACTGCAGTCACTGTTTAGCTCTTGGTTGTGATTGTGTTAGTTGTCAGTAACTGTTTGCTGTCTCGGCTGGAGGTTGTGATGGAGTGTGTTGGAACTGGGGCATTACACGGATAATACCATGATGAAACAGCTGCAGCTTAATCATAATGAAATATGCGTAGGATTTAAGGGTGGCATATTCTGGAAATTTTTATTACACTTAATTCCCATGTTTAACATGTTTAGGAAAAAATATCCCTGCAATTATAAAGAAATAGATGTAAGATTATAGCAGTAAGTATTATAAAATAAATCTTGTCACTTTCCTACTTCAGGGAGGGAACGTTTTGTTTGTCTTTGCCTCAGGTGAAACTGCTGGCAATCTTCTTAATTTTTCTGATCTTTTAGATGTCTAGACCTGAATGTCTGCTGTTGCATCCCTTGCAGCTGAGGAGCCCAGGGCAGCATAACTGTGCTATTAGTCAGTGCTAGGGCTCAGTGGCATCCAGCACTGTCTCTCTCGGAGAAACAGTGAGGTCCTCTGCGTTCGGAAAACAGAGGGGCTTTTCTGTTTACTCTGGGGCTGAAATCTCCTTCTTTGTGCTCAGGAAACAGAGGGGGCTGGGATCTTGAGATAAATCTGATTCTATGGCATATGGTATTTTGAGACATCCTTGTAAATTGCTAGACTGAACATATTCTGTCAAAAGTAATGTTCCCTTTTGATCTATACTGAGCAATTCACTGATAGATTATGCAAAATAAACATTTATAAGATTATTGTAAAAAAAATTTGGTATTGCATTGTCCAGACTTCTGATTGCATTAAACTGGTGACTGGCAAATCTGATTACTAAGGCAGCCTGCTCAAATTAAAAAATAACAAGTGAGTAGCAGAAAAGAACAACAGAACCACAGGCTACTGAGAAGAAATCAAGTGCTGACACACAAGATAAAATATCAGCCATGGAAGCAGTTATCACTGTTGCCAGCAACTGAAGTCATAAGTAATGTGGTTTTAGGATGGCCGTGAATTTCTAATAATTGAGAAAATGGGATGTCGTAGGTCTTCTTCCTAATGCTCTAATTCTGTGAAACAAAATCAGCTGAGGTATTCCTAGCAATTCCTTTCTGTTCATACAGCTATCTTCATGTGGATAAAAAGTAACCCTATGAAAACCTCTTCCTTATGTTGTGGTGAGTTAAATATTTTAAAAAAAGTGCTAAGGATAATGGGTGGAACTTTCTATGGAGGAGTCGGTTCCCTCTTGCTCTTTCAGGGTCTGATGGTTCATTTTTGTCTGTGCCCAGGCAAACCGGGACGCAGTGATTAGCCGAGCCCCAGACCAGCAGGATGACCGAGCAGTCAGCCTCCGGGATGCTTCTGCAGTCTACGACCTCCTCAGCATCACGCTGGGCAGAAGAGGGCAGTACGTCATGCTTTCTGAGGTACTACCTCCTGGCCGCTGCGGAACTGCCACTTGAAGTGTGCAAGCAAAGCCCCTTTGCACGGTAGTTTGTTGGGGAAGGTGAAAATGAAGAACACTAATTGGCAGTTAGTAGAAATGGCTACAGATCTATGTCAGTGCAGGCCAGAAATGCACACAGACCTGTTTAAGACATTAAAGTAATTTACATGTAGGCACTTGAACAAAGTGGCTGTCATTTGACATGATGGTGTATGCTAGTAAGCCCTGTTAACTGATGATGAAGAAAATGATGTCATAAAAAAATCACCTGGGCCCTGGGCAACAACAGATTGTTTCTCCTGATTTGATTACTGAGCTAAGCAGCAGTTTTGGCAAAAACCAAAAAACAACTCTCCCAAAAAAAACACCCCACCCTGATATGTCTCCCAACATCTATTTCACAGTGCTTGGAGAGAGCCATGAAGTTTGCATTTGATGAATTTCACCTCTGGTACCAGCTTGCCTTGTCCATGGTGGCCTGTGGAAAGGTAAGGGTCAAACCAAAAGACTTAGAAAGGACACTCTGCCAGAGGAAAATGTGCATCTGGCTTACTTGTTTGAATGTTCAGAGTCATACATTTTGTGGGAGTAAGTGCCATCAGACAGCTATGTGGAAGGACATAGACTCTGATTGCACTGTGTGTTTAGGTGTGTGCATTTGGTATTGAGTTTAAGGTCTGGTTTCTCCATCTGATCAAGGAAATGTTAATGCTTTTTCATAGAGAGCTTACAAAGTTTAATAATTTTGAAGTGCTTAGTGCAAAATATACTGTAGAAAAAGAGATGATGTGTGAATGTTTGGGTAGATGTATTTTCTAGCATTTATTCTTTTTTTAAATTAATGTAGTATTTGTTAAAGTATTATTTAACCACTGGGATGTCTGAAGTCTGATTGCAAAAGGTAGGCAGTGGCAGTAGGAGCTTTTCTTTGTTAGCCTTAAAAGAGTTAGTTTTTTCAGGAAATGTGGTTGATACACAATTTAGCCCGTTTTTTCTGGGTGTCCTCACCTATACTTTTAGGTGTGAGCAAATTAATGCTGTGCCACTGGTAGACCACTTAGTGTGATCCTATATTCCATGCCCATGGAGTGTAGGGAATCTATGTAGAACGGGGTAGAGACCAACTAGTAATTATCTGCCAAGTGAGAACTACTACTGGCCTTTTATGGCTATAACATGAGTTGGAAACAGTGACTTTGGTGTGGAAATGGGAAATGAATATACAGTGGTATGGTTTTGCAGAGAAGTTGTCATCTTGTGATGGCTGTAAAGCTTGGGAGATGTCTGAACGGATTCCTTTGCTTCTGTGAGCATAGACAAAGCCTTACCTTGGAAGACTGTTACGCATTATGCTTCAAAAATTTGGTAGAACAACAAGTGAAAGTCTAATAAACATCATCAAAGACGTCTAAGAGTATAGTTAGCAGGACTGTGGAAAGATTGAAAGAATTATTTTTTTTAATTTTATGTTTCTAAAACCCTTAAAAGGGAGGGGGGAAAAAAGTCCAAGAGAAATAAGTTTTCAAGAGCTCTTGGAAGAAGGAAGGGGTTAATCTTGTCTATGACAGATAGGACAAGACATGATGGCTGCAGTTGCAGCAATGTAAGTTCATGTTTCCTAGTAAGAGGCAATAAAACTAAGGATAGTGGTACCCTGGAAAAAGATTGTCCGTGGAGGTTGTGTGGAGCCTGTGCCTCTGGGGATCTGTGGAAAACCCAGAGGCAAATTGTCAGTCAGTAGTGACCCTGCTGTGAGGCACCAGGGATGTACTTGGTGGGACCTTGCAAACTCTGACCCTGTTCTGGGACTCCACAGTATTGGCTAGATCTGTTAAAATCAAGAGACAACATCAGAACTTCGACAGCGTGTTAGATCAGCAGGGAGCTCAAGGGATGTGTTAGGTGAGAAAGAGGCTTACCTATTCCTGCAGGAGTTAGGTACAAGTATTTCAAAATCCATTTCTAAGTATGGAAACGATGGCTAGACTGATGGTGCTAATATGTTAATGCTGGCCTATGTTGGGTGGGGGGCATACAAGTCTGGTTCAGTTCCTTTCCTCTTGGCATTCAGCTGGAGTTAGCGCGTTGCTGCCCTCTGTGCCTTTGCAAATCCCCAGGATACCTGATCTGTTGATACTGAAGACAACAATGACTAGGCAGGCCATGTTGGAAAGGCTCTGTGTCTTCCTGGAAACACAGGACTGGGAGCTTTATTGGTTTTACAGGTTGTGTAACTTGTTTCTCAAGAGCAGACAGCACTGTAGCTCTAGTAATCTGCTGGAAAGCAAATCTAGATGTGTACTGCTAGTGGTTGAGAGAGTAACTGTGATTCAATCTTAGGTTAGTATGGGGGAGGGAAATGGAACCTGATCTTTAGCTTCTAACAGTTTGCATGAGAAGTGTGCTTGTCCTTGCATGTCTGCATACCTCTTCACCTTCCCCAGAAGTTACTGAATACTTGGTAAATAAGAAGAGAAAAAAAAAAAAGGCAGTGTGAGTATCTGTATCCTCTATAACTCTCCTATCTTTTCAGGTTTTCAAGTAGGTCGTCTTTTTGCCTGTACTTTAAATATTTACAAGGTAAAATGGCCTGATCTTGCCTATTGATGCAAGAGCTCTAAATGTTCTGAGCCCTGTATGGGGCAGAGGGAATTCCCTTACCCAACAATCCCATCTGTGCAGTATTTCACTTTTAATCCCAAAGTATTCCATGAGGATTCCTGTCATATACTCTGCAGTGCGTCGTCCTGCTAATGGGAGATGTGGCATACATTGTTATACTGCTTCACAGCTTGACAGCGGGACAGAGTTCATTTAAAAGTAAGTGCTCCAGTGTAGCAGAAAGAACTGATGAGAAAACAGTGTGGGCTGTCTAGACTGCAGAATGCAGAGTACACTTGAGCTTTTATAGGTAAAAAATCTATTTTCACCTGTCTCAGTCACAGCCGATTCCTTCTCATTTCTTTGTAACAAAGTCTCACATCCTGTGGTTACTGGTTCTGCAGTACAACAAAAATCATGCTCATAAATCCTGGGTAAGACAGGAACAGTTTTATTAACCTGTAAATGCTGGAAACTTTTTTTTTTTAAGGATTTGCAAACTCTGACTTTCTTACGTGCTGTGAAATCCTATCTTGCCCTCTGTTGTGCACTGCATTTGGCTAGTGTTACTTTTATTTTGTATCTTTATAATCAGGTTAAGTAAATCAAGTTAAATTTCCAACTATCTTCTTCCTCTGCCAGACAAAATTGCCGAGTGGTGACTGCCATTTTTTGTAAGTGATCAGTCTGAATCTCAAGCCAGCTACCTAGGCTCATTACTGTGTAAGCAGCCTTGAGTTTATGCATTATTCTAAAAAGCATGTGTCTTTACAAAAACAGACACATCACTTCAGTAAGTTCTTATTGAGCAAGCGAGACCTTAGGGCTTAATAAAACAGTGAATTAAAAAAGCTCAGGGAAGCATAACCTTCCTGTCTGTCTTCTGTCCACCTAAGTGGTAGAAACAATGGAGTGATAGCGATTTCACTTTCCTGTGCTATTCAACAACTTACATAATGAGAAAGATAGTGTGGTCTGGTTGGTTTTTAACCCATTCTTGGGAATGCATGTATACCAAGCTGTATGTTTTCTGAAAGAGGAACATGTTTATTTAAATTATTAAAATCTGCCTTGAAATTGGAAATACTTTTATGGACAATTTTAGGTGAAATGCTGGGAAATCCTAGACAATGACAAAGTCATAGTGACTGATGTCCTGTGTCACCAAGTGCAGTCCTGGATAGGCAAGAAAGAGGTTTAAATCAGTGTAATGCTTCACCGTGGTTCTTCTGAATGGGTACTAGGAAACCGAGTGCTGCATTTCTCACAGCTGCTGGTAATGACCTTTGTGATGTGGCAATACTGCAGCTGAAGGCTGAGTGGGCACAGAAGCTCCCTGGCTCAGCTAGCAGGCATACACAGGCTGGAGCCTGAGTGGCAAGTGGTGTGATAGCTGGGCACCATCTGGCAGAGTCCTCGGGCAACAAGATGAGCCACTGTTCTGCTGCCAGAGTAAAACGAGTGCAGTAGGTTGCATCTGCTTGTCTCGAGATTTTAGAAAAGTGACCTGTATTCAGCAGACTGGGCAAAGGAAGGACCAAACTCTTATTTACAGAGTGGAGAAGACTATGGAGTCGTCACAGTAGTGGAGAGAGACAGCTGTTTGAGGCAGACTTATTCTCTGCTGCTGCTTTTCAACTAAACAGTTTCCACTGGAAGTTGTGGAGATTGCCAGCACACAGCACTCCTGCAGCCTAGGCTACCTCTACTAACATACCTGGAGTTGGAAGCAAAACTGTAATAGTGTCTAGATGATGTATTACAAGGAGAAGGGATGTGAAATAGAATCCTTGTGTACTTGCAAACATTTCCCAGGCCTCAGACCAGGTGGATCAGTTTGTGTTCTCTTGTTCTGATTTCTGTCCCCTTCCACACTTAATGACCTCACGTGGGACCCAGCCTGGGTGTTCCAAAGTGTTACAGGAGCTTTTTGGGAGTAGAGACTCAGAAGCATATGGTAAGATTGGGCTCTAGTGTAAATTGACAGTACTTTAGAAAGTTTTCTAAATCTGTTATGTCTTTTTTTTTCCCCTGTCATACTACTTAAGGGAGAGATAAATTGATAAAATATATCCCTTGAATAATGTGGGGTAATATTGATGCTTTCTTCTGCCGACCAAGGAGACAAGACTTGTCGTTAGTGACAATGATGTGCTATTTTCCAAAGGGTAGCAAGAGAGGGATTCTTCAAGGATGGCTGCAAAATTATTCTGTGAACACAATAGTCTACTTAGTCTAGAAGTGCAGCAGTCTTACACTGATCTCATGTCCAGTGGATGTTGTTCATTATTATTAGCGTATGAAGTATATAAACCCATTTGTGTGCTCATATTTAATGTTTCTGCCCCCTCCCCCTCCCCAAACCCACAACATGACTTGTTTAGGAATTAAAAGCTTTAGAAATAGGTGTTCCTTGAGAGGAGGAGTGGGAAGTGGTCTCAGGCCATCTGAGGGAAGTCTAGAGCATCTGCTAGGAGAGGATAATCTGCTTTTACCTGTCACCCTGTATACTCATTTAAGGGATAAGTGCAGCAAAAAGTGCGTAAAGGGTTAGCTCAGGAGCAATTGAGTACAGAAGGGGAATGTTGTGGTTCAAGCTGACTGGAATAAAAATCATGCGGTCTTCAGCTCACTCCTCCCTCAGCCCCATTTCCAAAGTGATGTGGAGGGAGACAATTCAACTAAAAATGCTCAAGGGCTTGAGATTAAGGATAGGGAGGATAATAATCTATCACTTAAGATGACTGGTAAAGAACTAGAGCAACTTGTGGAGAAAAACATAGATTTAATTCAGCACCACCATTTAAGAAGTAGGATAGTGAGAGGATTACATCAAAAAATATGACCTGATCTTAAATACAATTCACACACTCCCACCCCTCCCATC